ATCCACCAACTCCTGCCTTGCCAAGTATCCAAGCGACTAGGAAATTTTGTCTGGATGATGGTACCCTGACCCTCTTGTGAGATTCCTCATACATTAGTTTTCTCTAGCTATATGGCAGCGGATGTCTCATGTTCTAGAGTTTTCTGGATAGAGGAACACAAACAATAAATACTGGGATTGGAAATGACACATGACATGTTTTTAATTCAAATATGGACCACACAGTCTGTATTAACTGATTTTCAGATTCTTGGATGTTGCCAGGTCATTTCCATATTGGCTCAAGTGAAACAGAAAGAGGAAGAGAAAGCTTTGGGACAAAGTATCATCTAATTTATTCTAGCACAAAAGGGCTTTGTATCTCCAATTAATGCTTAATGCATGCTTTGTTATATTCCAAAATGGGATCTGAATCAGGGACCCTGATCCTGGGGCTGTAGGATTCAGAAATGCTGTTGTGGGTTATGGAGAGGGGCTGTGTTTCTCATGCAGTCTCATGGGGGGAGACTGCAATAGTCACTGCTTGACTATGCCCCACCTAACCCCTGTTCCATGAGATCCATCTTGACTCCATTGGAATTTTTGAGCTGCACATATAAGCCTAGCCTGGCTCTAGGGTCTGTGTGGTCATGGACCATCCCATTTTGTCACACTCTCTGGAAGAAGGATGTGACAAGGTCCAGGCAGAGGGGTGGTTTTGCAGTTTCGTGAAGAGGCGATGTGAAAGTTTGGGGCAGGACATTGCAATGAATGTGGGAAAAGGTTCTTGGCAGGTGAATATCATCTATAACTCCTTCACACCCCTGACTTGAGAGGGTCCTGAGAGCCTTGCTTTCCAATTTCTCTCCTAGACTCACTGGTGCAGGAAGAGGCTTTGTTTGTTTGTTTGTTTGTTTGTTTGGAGCCACAGACTCCTAGTGTTTGATGCAAAGCAGTCATTTTCAAAATGATGTTTTAAGCGGTGGGATTCCAGCTTCAGTGACAACTTTGGCAGGTGCTTTATGTGAGAAGGCAAAGGTCTTCATCTCAGAGCTGGGGACGTCTGGGACAGATACTTTGCTATAGTCTGTCCTGTGCATCTTTGTCCCATACCTACCAGCTGTTAGTGTTATTCTTTACCCCATTGTGACAGTCAAAACTGTCTGCAGATTGGCACAACTGTCCTTTTGAGACAAAGTTACCTCCTCTTGAGAACTTCGCTGTTAACATCCTAAGGTGGAGGCAATTGATAGAAGGTAAGGGAGAGAATCCAAGTACATTTTGGTATTTCTCTATTTGCTCCTCCTTGTCCTTGATTGGAACAGGTGACACTAGGTGGATGAAGGGCTGTGGGTCCCTGTGGGGGTCCTACTTGTCACGAATGCTACCATCTTCCCACCATCACCGTGAGAGCTCTCTTCTCTTTGAACCCCACAGCAGGTTTTGTGAGACATCTGTGGGTAGAACCAGTAGAGCTCCTGTCACGAATCCTTTATTTCAGCCCTGACCTTCCTTTAAAAATGCATACTTATTGAACTGGAGTACCCAGAAAAAGCGCCAGACATGAAGAACCCTATGTACTGGCACTAGGTTCTGCCTTCCCCATTTGGCATTAATGAAACCATGCCAATTGTACTCTCTTACCTCATCCTATTCATTTATTATACTTCGTAGAGCCGGCCTTTTCCACGGAAACTTGTGGCCTTCTAATAGCAGCCAGCAGAGTTACCATAAGTGACCTCCCTTGTTTGGTACCAAGCAGTGAGTCACTGAAGACTTGGCAGGCCACGGCCAATGCCATTTGCAAATGTCAAGGCTGCACCTCAACTGGCATGCTTCTTCTCTGCCCTGCTATCACCCTCCATGGGTGTTTTCTTCCATTAAAATATCTGTTTATTTAAATATACATAAGTATTTAGTTTTGCTGCTGCTGCTGTTGTTGGTAGTGTATTGTGTGTGTGTGTGTGTGTGTGTGTGTGTGTGTGTGTGTGTGTGCTTGTGTGTGTGCTTGTGAAGACAACCTATCAGAGTTAGTTCCTTCTTTTCATCTTGTGTATTTCTAAAGATTAAATTCAGGTTGTCAGACCTAGTGGCCTTTACCTGGTGACTCGTGAGTGCTTTCTTGAAGTTGTTTTCTTAGAAGTCATGAATGATAGGTTTCCTGTCCTTCTACCCTTCTGCCACAATGGGTCATTAATATCAATGATGACCATACTCTTCTGCTTTTTTAAGAAATTAACTATGGCCAAGAAATGACAACAACTAGCAGAAGTATGATGTTATCTGTACTCGAAAACCAAGAAAAGACTTCTCATATAATCCCCATGGTTAGTGTCTTCCAAGGACTTCTATGTATCCAGTTCTACAAGGGCTCTTGGTTGTTGTTTATTTTTAGTATTTTGTGGTACTGGGATTGAAGTCTGTGTCTCGGGTAATCTAGATGAGTAGTAGAGCTATACCCCCAGTCCCCCAAGAGCTCTTCAATACATTCCTTCAATTTTCATGTCATTTATTATCCCCATTTGACAGGTGAAGTGGCAAGGACTGAGTGTCATTGGTGGAGTGTACCTGGGCCTAGGATTAGCACTCTGGCAGCCTTGCTCTAGGCAGGGGTTGACAACATTTGTTTTCTATTAAGGGCCAGAGAGTACATCTGGTCCTTGCAGGCCATACGGTCTCTGTAGTGATGGTTCAACTTTCTAACCTAAAAGTAGCTATGAATGACAGTGAACATCATGAGCACAGAAATGTAGATTTCATCTGATTCTTACAGGTCACAAAGTATGTTTTTTTCTTTGATTTTTTCAAAAAACAAAATATGAAACCGAATCTTAGTTTTGAAGCTAGACATACACAAACAGTGGGTTGAATTTGGCCCCACCTCATAGTTTGCCAATGCCCGTCCCAGAGCTCTGACTTCTCGGCACTCTGCAATCTGGTTGCAACACTGCTGCTCCCTGACTGAGGAGTATCAGAAGCAAAAGAGGATGCTGGGGCTGTTATTTAGCTTACCGGAGAACTCCACACCAGTGTGTCACTCATTTGCCACGTCTCAGTGTGTGGCAAGTCTAGGAAGGGACTGTTTGTAAGCATAAATCATAAAGACTGAAATGAATGAAGTTTCATAATGTAATGACTGGCATCTCTACAATCATCAAAACCCATTTATGGAATGCTAATAGGGGCCAAGAAAGTGATTTCATTTATTTAAACAATTTGATTGATAACTACTTGTTGGAAACATCTATGAACGAAGAACATGCTATATAAACACTGTGATCTTCTTGGTATTTGACATGGCCCATGGCCCAGGAATATACACTGGAGGGGGCTTAGTAGCACAGGTGGTCCTATTCCTCTTGACTTTCCTTTGCATCTGAAATATTGTCAGTGTCCCTACCTTGGTGAGACCAGGGCATGAAAACTGCCTTGAAACCATGAGGCTTCTAGAGAGAAGGCGTCAGAATTAGAGGGCAATGCCAACCTGGCCACCTGGTCAATGTCCCCAACAAATGCCAGTGTCTCTGGCTGCTCCATAGGGGCTCTGGGAGAATGTGTTTCAAAATGGGCTCTTGGCATACCCTGTCACTGTGCGGCTCTGAAACACCGCCAGAAGTCCTGGCAACTATAGCCCTGTTGCCTTCTTGGCTCCAGTTGGACTGGGTGGCAGATGGCAGAACCACTGTTGTGGTAGGGCTAGGGAGGAGCTGTCTGGGGAAAAGTGGTGGTCACTTTTCCAGCTAGCATTTGCCTTAGGTAACTGTATTCTTTACTGAAATTGTATTGAAACCCTTTGTATATTGCAACCTCTGAATACTGAGGAGAGTCAGCTTCTAGGAGGGTGGAATCATTTCCTAGGATCTTCTGGGACCTCTTGGAAGGTCATTTTTCATACAATATCAGAGTAACAAAAAGGTCTTGGCAATTAGCAATGCAATGATTTTCAGCTTGGGCACTCTAAAATCAGCTGTGAATAAATACTTGTCCTTTATCAGTGTTGACGGACTGACAAAAAGTAGACCCATACTCATGACCAGCCTTCTCATCATAGCAACAGTCTTGATCATCTTTGCTCTGAGCTGGAGTTTATGCACTGGGACAGTTAACACTGGTTTATGCATGTTGATAAAGAGCTTCAATTAACAGTGATTTTTGTCTCTGATTAATCTCAGAATATGAATTAATTGTTAATTAATAAATGTAGTCTTGCTGGACACAACCTTCTTTAACATTGAAATCTCTTGAAGGAACACTCTAGAAAGAAATCTCTTGTGGTGGAAGGATGAGGAGCTGCTGTGGTAGGGTATCTCTCCTTCACAAAGAAACAAGAGAAACAAATTGGTTAAAGTGCTTGCCTAATCTGCATCCAAGTCTCAGAGATGAAACTGAACTTGCTTCCCAGAGTTTCCATGTAATAGTCTTTCTATTGCCCTGTGGTGCCCCTGAGTCATCATTAGGGGGCCCCATCTCTGGAGTCACTTGTCTGTCCATCCTAAACCTTTGGTTTTCTTGAGCTCCAAAATGGAATGAACTGTGGTCATGCAGATGGAGTGGTCTTTTGTGCCCTGGTGGGTAAATGCACCACTGTGTGTGTCTTTCTCCTCATCTTGTCTGCCTAGAAGTCATGCTCTCAGACAAGCCACACCCCCATTCCCCAAACCATTTAAATTGTCTTGCTATGCAGGAATTAAGAAATTAAAAAAAAATGAATTTAAAAGGAGCTTGACCTTAGAAAAACCTGAAGAGGAAGTGAGTTGAATCACAATTTTGAGCAATGGGTTTGAAGTTTTCTGGAGCTGGGGACAGAGGCTGAGCACTCCATCCTCAGGCTACACACTTCGAAACCCTGAATCCTTCACTCCTGTCCACCCAGAGGGAGAAACTCAACTCAGAGTTAATTGGTGATTTGTCAGAAGTCATGGCTCATGCTCCAGGCATCAAGCTCATGTCTGACTGTAAAGCTGGCACCCCTCCCCGCAACCACAGTGTCCTGACCTCTCCTCTCTTCCTGCAGACACATAGAAAACTGGCGAGGCCTGCACACCCTCAATGCTGTGGACATGGAGCTCTACACAGGACTCCAGAAGCTGTGAGTACACTGGGATGGCTTGCTAAGGGACAACTGGGATGCCACCTGTTGTCTTCTATGGCGAAGTAGCAGTAATGGGAAGTTTTCTGTCTCAGTGCTTTTTCTCAGGAATCTTCTCTGGGGATGGTTGGCATCACCTATTTAGGGACTGTCAGGGGCCACCTCAGTCTGAACAGGTCTGAGGGTTACCTAAGGTTAGTGTCTTAAGGCAGCCTTGCCCTTGCCCCCAATGCCTCCTGGGATTGTGTTCTTTCTTCACTCCTGTGCTTGGCACAACCCTATACCCCATCCCCAGTGTCGGATTCTCCTTCATCACTGCAGTGACCTTCAGTGCTTTATACATGAGGCACCAGGTGTGAGGAGGAGAAGGCACAAGAGACTGAAATCTCCTTGACTCTGGAGCACCAGGAGCCCTGGTTCTCAACTGCTGGTCAGAATGGGTAGTGACTAGCTGCATTCAATAATTGCTCATATTGCAACCTTCACCTAATTCTCCAAAGGAATTGGGTTTATGTCTCTCATTGAGCCCTCAGTTGGCCAGCAAGGGTGACTAGTGATGAAGAGAGCTACAGCCCACTCACGGGGCTTGCCTTCCTTCTGGCTATAACCCCTGGGATTCTGCTGACCCTCTTTTTCTCTCTGCTTAGGACCATCAAGAACTCTGGACTCCGGAACATTCAGCCCAGAGCCTTCGCCAAGAACCCCCACTTGCGTTATATGTGAGTAGAACTGGATTTTAGGAGAAGGTGGGGTGTGTGTGAATGGAGATCGTCTTGGACAATGAGGCTGGCTTTGGTATTTGTTGCCCTTGGCCAAATCCTTTAACTTTCTTAGGCCTCCAGTTTTGCCTCCTTAGCATGAACATTTGGGATTTGGTAATCTCAAAGGTTTTCAGTAGAAGGAAGCCAGGGCTGAGTGGGAGAGTCTCCTGTCTAGCAAGCTTGTGCCTTTTTTATAATGTAATTTTCAATTTTATGGGAATGTAAATGACAGGGGCTTAATATGAACAGGACTCTTCTGAGAGTATGTGCAAGATTGTAGTGGTGTGTATGTGTTGATGTTGGGGATTATAGGAAGAAGGAAAGCAAGACCAGACTAAGAACAAGAAGAGTTTAGATTCAATATAGAAGAACTTTGAGGAATGGAAACATCTGCATAAGATCACGGGTCTTGATTTGGGATGAGACAGTGGACACATGGTTATGGGTATCAATCTATTAGTGCCTCCCTCACTCTGTAGTCTCTCCTTGCTATGGAATGGGTTTGTTAGGTAGTGGCTCTGGATAGACCTTGCAGGAGTGGGATCATCCATGTGGATGCTCCTTCTCCTAGTTTAGATCTGGGTAGATAGACTATGAGATTTGGAGGGAGGACAGTCCTTTCTTGCAAAGCAAGAGGGCATGAAAGAAAGCCTACAGTACGTGATCAAGGACAAGACTACCTCCACAGGGCTATACTTGCTGTCTGAGTCAGTTCTTTCTCAAGAAGAATAGCCTTGTGGATTTTCAGTGGATATACCCCAAGAACAGAAAGTATTCATGAACTCGATGGCATGGGATCTGCTGCAAGTGGGATGGAAACAGAGGATCTACTGGCAGGTTGACTAGTCTTTCTTTTGGCCCCTGTAGTTGGCACTTGATAATGGAAGGCAACTTGCTGGGTCCAAGTCTCTTAAAAAGAAGCAGAGCTTCTAAGGGATGCTGTGAACAAGTGACAAGCAGGGGATGTAGGGATCAGAAGAGATCTTCAACAATTATGGTTGGGGAGTGGTTTCTTTTCGCAGAGGTCCTGGATATACTCTCAGGTCTGTGCATTTTCCAAGCACGGGGTGAATAGTTATTTATCTCTTTCAGCCACTTCTGCTTTGTGTTGAATTTTCTTTCTTTCCTCTGGAAATAGCAAGCTCTCTGGCCATTGCTCAGGGCCGCATGTACTAACAATGGGGGACTGAGAACTCCCTTTTAACTGTCTAACTCAGCTCTTGCTCCCTTGCCCTGGTTTACGCCCTGTGGCATGATTCTCCCAATGTGTGTGTTCTTCACAGCCATTGGTATAGCTGCAACCAGAGAAGGGCCTTGGACCAGATGTTCCAGGTGTTTATTTTATTGGGGATTTGAGTTTCATTGTAAAACTTCCCAAGGGAAAGAGCTTTTGACATCTGAGAGGTCTCCTTTTTCACAACATACGGATGTGGGGACAGTTGGGGCTGTGGAACCACATGGCAGTTCCAGCTGACTACTGTTATGTGAGGTGCAGCCTAATATCACCAGACTTTCTGTTTATTCAAGATGAGCTCAAGCATCATCACTCACTCAAAGGGCTCTGTTAGACATGATGGGGACTCCAGAGGAGACTTATGGTTACAGATAAGCAGAGACCATAGGGCAAGGCCCACAATCTGGCTCATCCATGGGTTTTATGAGTGAACTTCATCCATTTATGAAGACACACCCCAGATCCCTACTGAGTGAATTTCCCGGCAGCTTTGGGACATTTTCTCCTGGCAAATGGTCCAGGTTTCACTGCTCTCTCACAACATCTTCTATTTCTGTCTTCTAAATGCATTTACAAGTCTTCAGGCCCCAGCTGAGCAATCACAAGGCGATCACTTACTCCAACACTAATTGCCAAGCCCTGGCTTGGCGGCTGTTTCTTTCTTTCTCCACTCCCCCCCTTTTAAAGGGAAACGGCTGAGATGTTTCTTCTCCCTTTCTGTACAAAATAAGAAGCAGGAAGTCATATTCTTCCCCAAGTCATCTCAGTCATCCAACGGGGGCAACACACAACTGTCCTTCATCTCTGAATCTGTCCCTGTCACCAGTATAATTCATCCCCACATCAGAAGGTCAAATTTTGGCAGCAAGTGTGGCGGGACACTGGAACCCTAGGTTGTCTTAAGATCTGTGAGTGACTGCTTCAGCTTTCTCCCTCTTTTGCTGGGTCTGAACAAATGAGATATTGGTGAATACATTCAGAAAGACCTTTCTTGGGGACTGGATTTTTTTTTTAACACTCTTGCTTAGATCAAGGAGCCTCAAGGATAAGGACTTTTCAACTTGATCATGGGAATATCAGCTTGCTAAGCTGTAAATTGAGCATAAGGGCAGTGCCTGTTCTAGGCAAAGACTGCACAGCTAATGTCCTGTACAGCTTTTAGCCCAGCAAATAGAGTTCAGAAATGATGCTTACTGATAATGATAATGTATTCTGCTATTGCTGATCACAGAACCCAATGGGAGGGTCAGTGCCTTCCCTGACCTATCTTTATCATGGAATGGTTGGATTTCTGTTCTACACATTTCACCTCCAATATGCCTGTAATATATCTGTTTTCAATATCTACTGTCTGCTTTCCTTGAATGTGGATGAGTCAACCTGGATACATTTCTTTCTTCTCTCTACCCAGTCTCTCTTGCTTTCCACTCTATGTAGCCCACTCTAGATGCTGCTCATCTCGGGTAAGACCTCAGCAATGGGTGACTCTATAACTTTCTTATTTCTAAATGTTTAGAGGCCACATCTATTAACACTGTTGAATACAGATTATCCCCCCAATCTTCTGAGATTCGCTTTTGTATCTGACTCTTTTCCCCTTTAAGAAAGCTGTTTTCTGTATCATGGCTCACACAACTTGGGTCCCCAGGGCAGTGTCTTCACAAGAAGAAGAATAATGCAGGTGCCTTCTATGGACTGTGTTCGAGTGATGGTGTTTCCTTTCCTCTTAGAGTACTTCCTGGTTTCCAGGGAACTTCATATACTTCATCTCACCAAGTTCTCACAGCCATCCTGGTGGCTGTTGTGGTAGGAAGCTTTATTTGATAGACACTGAGAGTCTTATTGGTAAGGAGCAGAAGTAGAAGTCTGCCTAGGTTGGAAGAATCTCTTCCCAGGAATCTTTCTATTATACCTTTGGGCAAGAAGGCCAACAGCAACAAAAAACAATCAACCAGACCAATCCCACCCTCAAAACCTCCTAAGATGCTTAGCAAATTTCATTAAGAATACAAGTCTCTAGGGGAGAGATTGCTTAGCTGGTCAAGTGCTTGCTGCATTTGATCTCCAGAACCCATGTAAAAAAGCCAGACATGTTGGTTTTGCAATTCTGGTACTGGGGAGGCAGAGATAGGCTTGTGCTTCCTAGCCATCCAGACTGGCTGGATCAGCCACCACAGGCCAGTGAGAGAGCCTATCTCACAAAAACAACAGAACTAGATCCTGAGGAATGATATCTGGAGTTGGCCTCTGCCCCTCACAATTACACAGGTGTGTGTACACACAGACATAGGCCCATGCGCGTGGGCATGTACGTACACAAACACATGCACACATCTCAAAAAAGAAGGAAAGGCTAGTTAATACTCATTAAGAATTTACTATGAGCCTAGGAATGGACCTAGTGCTTTTGTCGATTTGGGCTCACGTCACTCTGCATAGTGTCTACCCGAGAGCTCCTTTGTCCCTGTTGTGTAGATGAGCACACTGAGTCCCACAAGTCACCATGGATTTCTCCTAAGGTCATACCGTGAGTTAGTCAGGCTGAGGACTCCCATCCTGAGTCTCTGTAATCTGTGTACTTTCTCACATCTCAGAGTGTTTCTTCCCTCTGCTTTTCTTAGCAAGTGCTTCACATGGGAGGGATGTGGGGTCTTTAAACTTTTATTAGAGCGCTGCAATTTCTCCCTGGAGATTTAGCACCATCCAGCCTCAAAGAGCTCGGGCTGAGAAAGCTGTTTAGTTTCTTTCCCTATTCAGGTCGGATCCTGTACCGATGGTTGCATTACTAACTGAATATCTTTATTGTGAACGATTTCGTAGTGTTAGCCTATGGCCTACTTATTTCCAAGAATATTTAATGTAAGATTCCAGCAAGCCAAAAGAATTTCTTTAATCCCTTGGAGTTGGTTGTGGTGGGATGTCTCTCAAGTTAAGTTGCTGTAAGCAGAAATTCGCTGGATCTGTTCAGCTGGGAACCCTGGGTCTGAGGGCGGGATAAGGCGGGAATGCCTCCATTTGGGCATGATTGTGGCAACGATGTTGTATTTCCAAGGACAGAAGGTCAGTAGTGTTTAGGTGAGTAGGGATAGAGGAAATGGCTGGAGGCCCCACCCTCCTGGTCGCTGACTGGACAGTGTGCAATTCATTTCTCCTGAGGGAACAGGGATGGAAACATGGTGAGACAGATTTATTATGTATTATAAATCACTAGAGGTTGAAATAGCCTGATTTTGGATTCCAGGCTGATAGGCTGATATTTTAATAATAAACGTTTACCTCCCTGCCTGCTCCTTACCTCTGCACTGAGATTTTTTTTTCTGAGTCCCAGTGGGGTTGATGACTGGCATACTTGTCCCCTTACTGCCTCCATGCAAGTGGCCTTCCTTCTCTGTTCTATGTGGTGGATGCAGCCATTGAATACTGTACAGTAATACTGATGGTAATAGACCAAGGGCTTTGGAGAGTCAAACCTGAGATTTTTACTTTACAAGGTTGACCTTAGGGAAGCTAGTGAACTTTGGAGAGTTTGGAAGGAAGTCTAAGATCCCCTCCTACTTAGGACAGTTCTGAACCGTCAATAAGACAAAGCATGCAAAGAACTTAACTCAGCAGATTATGAAAGGCTCAGCTTCCTCCCTCATCTTCTCACCCCTCCAACCCCCCACCTCCCCAACCCTGCAAATGGGGATCCAGTTTCAGAGATCACAGATAGTTAACCTGAAAG